ATATACCTTTTTTTTTCATTGTTATTGTTTTATATGTCTTTTGAGATTTATGCTTTAAGGAGATTCTATTTTGGTGTATTCTGAGGTTTTGCTTTAAGATTTAGAACTTCTTTTAGCAGTTCTTGTAGTGCTGTCTTGGTAGTGGTTAATTCTCTCAGCATTTGTTTGTCTGATAAATACTTTATGTTTCCTTCATTTATGAAGCTTAGTTTTGCTGGATACAAAATTCTTGGCCGATAATTGTTTTGTTTGAGGAGGCTAAAGATAGGACCCCAATCCCTTCTAACTTGTAGGGTTTCTGCTGAGAAATCTGGGGTTAATCTAATAAGTTTTCCTTTATAGGTTACTTGATGCTTTTGCCTCACAGCTCTTAAGATTCTTTCCTTCATCCTGACTTCAATAACCTGATGACTATGTGCCTAGTTGATGATCTTTTTGTGATGAATTTCTTGGGTGTTCTTTGAGCTTCTTGTGTTTGGATGTCTAGATCTCTAGCAAGGCCAGGAAGGTTTCCCTTAATTACTGCCTCAAATAAGTTTTCCAAACTTTTAGATTTCTCTTCTTTCTCAGGAACACCAATTATTCTTGGGTTTGGTTGTTTAACACAATCCCAAACTTCTTGGAGGCTTTGTTCATTTTTTATTTCTTTTTTCTTTGTCTTTGTCAGATGGGGTGAATTTGAAAGCCTTGTTTTCAACCTCTGGAGTTCCTTCTTCTATGTATTTGATTCTATTGTTGAAACTTTCCAGTGTAGCTTGCATTTCTCTAAGTCTGTCTTTCATTTCCAGAAGTTGTAATTGTTTTTTATTTGTGTTATTTTTTCTGGAGATTTTTTGGTCCATACTCTGTATGATTGTTTAAATTTCTTTAAGTTGGTTTTCCCCTTTTTCTGGTGCTTCCGTGAGTAGCTTAACAATTGACCTTCTGAATTTTTTCTCTGGAAATTCAGAGATTTCTTCTTGGTTTGGATCCATTGCTGGTGAGCTAGTGTGATATTTTGAGAGTGTTGAAGAACCTTGCTTTATCATATTACCAGAATTGTTTTTCTGGTTCCTTCTCATTTGGGTAGACTATGTCAGAAGAAAGATCTGGGGCTCAAGGGCTGCTGTTCAGATTATTTTGTCCCATGGGGTGATCCCTTGATGTAGTACTCTCCCCCTTCCTCTAGGGATGGGGCTTCCTGAGAGCTGGACAGTGATTGTTTTTGCTGTTGTGGGTCTAGCCACCTAATGGAGCTTGGGCTCCAGGCTGGTACTGGGGAGTGTCTGCAGAGTCCTGTTATGTGATCTGTCTTCAGGTCTCTCAGCCATGGATACCAGCACCTGCTCCAGTAGAGGTAGTATATGAGTGAAGCGGACTCTGTGAGGGTCCTTGGTTGTAGTTTTGTTTAGTGCACTGGTTTTCTCAAATGCTTTCTCCAGTCTTTTCTTATATGGGTGCTAGGGCACTAATTGCCCCAGGCTACAAGCCTCCCCACTGAGAAAGCCAGCACGGCTTTCAGGCCCCACCCCTCACAGCCTGCCACTGCTTCTGTGGTCCTATCTGTACTTTCTGTCCATCTCCCTCACCTGGATTCTGCCCAGGAAAATTCACACTTGGTCAAAATTATTACAAAGCTCAACTGGAAGTTTCCTTCTCCCTGTGGTCCTTCCCCAATTCCATTGGCAGCCCTCCCCAAGGACCCCAGTGAGATAAAGTCAGAAATGGCTTCCCTGGTGACTGGGAGCACCTAGAGGGCTCTTCCCACCGCGGCTTCTACTTTTATATTTTGCTCAGCTGTCTAAATTCATTTTAGTTCTAGGTAAGGTTAAATCCTTCTCCCATGATCTGGATTTTCAGGTTCACCAGTGAGGATGTGTGTTCGGAGGTAGACTTTCCCCATTCACACTTTGGGCACTCACCATTTTTCAGCTGTCTCACAGAGTTTGCAGCCACGAGCCACTTTTTCAAAGGGTCTGTGAATCCTTTCAGTGTTCCTGATATGTTCCTGTGGTAGTTCTTGAAGCAAAAGCTCATGATGTCAGTCTGCACATGCTGTTCTGTTCATCTGAGTGGGAGCTGGAAGTTAGTCCTGCCTCCTATCTGCCATTTTTTTTTCCTGGAGCCTGACTTTTTAAACACAACACTGAAAGCATGATCCCATGAAATAAATAATTGATAAATTGGTCTTCATTATAATTAAAAACTTCTACTCTGTAAAAGATATCATCAAGAGAAAGAGAAGACAAGCTGCAGACAAGGAGAAAAATACTTGCAAAAGACATATCTAAAAAAAGTATTGTTATTCAAAATATATAAAGAACTCATATATCTTTCTTGTTGAGATGAGATTTTGTTCTATTGCTCAGACTGGACTGCAGCCTTGAACTCCTAGATTCAAGCAATCCTCCCACCTCAGCCTCCCGAGTAGCTAGGACCACAGGTGTGTACCACCAAATCCAGATAATTAAAAGAAAATTTCTTTCATAGAGACAGGATCTCTCTTTGTTGCTCAGGCTGGTGTTGAACTCCTGGCCTCAAGCGATCCTCCCATCTCAACCTCCCAAGGTGTTGAGGTTACTGGCATGAGCCACCAGGCCCAGCCTAAAGAACTCTTAAAACTCAACAATAAGAAAATAAACAGCCCCATTAAAAAATAAGCAAAACACCTGAAGAGATACCTCAGTAAAGAAGACATACAGATGAAAAACAAGTATATGAAAACATACTCAACATCATATGTCATTAGGGAATTGCAAATTAAAACAAGATACCACTACACACCTATTAGAATGGCCAAAACTTGTAACACTGAAAATTCCGAATACTGGCAAGTATGTGGAGCAATAGGAACTCTCATTCATTGCTGGTGCAAATGTAAAATAATACAGCCACTGTGGAAGATAGGCAGTTTCTTACAAAGCTATACTTTTACCAGACAATCCAGCTATTGTACTCCGTGGTATTTAAAAAAAGGTACACAAAAACCTGCACACAGATGTTGAAAACAGCTTTATTTATAATTGCCAAAACTTGGAAAAAACCAAATGTCCTTTCGTAGGTGAATGAACAAATACACTGTGATATATTCATTCAATGGAACATTATTCAGTGCTAAAAAGAATTGACCTATCAAGCCACATGAAGACAAAGAAGAAGCTTAAATGCAAAAATGCCAAATGCTTAAATGAAAAAAAAAGCCAATATGAAAAGGCTATATACTGTATGATTCCAACTATCTGAAAAGGAAAAACTATTGTGAAAGTAAAAAGATGAGTGGTTGCCAGGGGTTGGAGGGAGGGATGGATAGATGGAGCACAAAGGATTAGGTAGTGTTTTCATCAGTTTGGGCGGCTATTACAGAATACTACAGCCGGGGTGGCTTAAACAACAGAAATTGATTTCTCATAGTTCTAGAGGCCACAGAATCCAAGATCAAGGCGCTAGCACACCTCGTGTCTGGTGAGGGTGCTCTTCCTGGTTTGCAGACAGCCATCTTCTCGTTATATCCTCATATGGTGGAGAAAGACAGATCATCTCTCTCCTGTCTTTTCTAATATGGGTGCTAGGGCACTAATTGCATTCATGAGGACTCGACCCTCAAGACCTAATTACCTCCTAAACGCCCCATCCCCAAATATCATCACATTAGGGATTTAGGTTGCAACATATACATTTTGGTGGGGGAGGGGGATTGGTAAAGTGGGGACAAACATTGAGCCCACAGCAGGCAGTGAAACTATTCTGTATGATACTCTGGTGGTAGATATGTGTCATTATACATTTGTCAAAACTTACAGCCTGCACACAAGAGTGAACCCTAAAGTATGGACTTTGAGTGATGATTTGTCAATGCATATTCGTCAATTATAACAAATGTACTACTCTGGTGTAGGATTTTAATAGTGTGGGAGAGGCTATGCGTATGTGGAAGCAGGGAATATATAGGAACTTTGTACTTTCTGTAAAATTTTGCAATAAGCCTAAAACTGATCTAAAAATAGTCTATTTAAAAAAAATTAAAAGAAGAATAAATATTTCATAATACATGGAACACAGCCACTCTCTTCTTTACATACTGTGTATGATTATGTTTACACTAGATAGTTAAATAGTTGTAAAGGAGAAAGTACAATCCACGAACCCTACATATTTATATCTGACCTTTACAGAAAAAAAAATAGCCAACCCTGAATTATAAGATAGCTTGCTGAAAACTGGCTTACTTGATGTTGAAAAATCGAGGTGCATTAATATCTCCCACCACATGCAAAGTTGAAGTACAATGGAATTTGATATGAAGGATAAAACTATTACAGAAAATACAGAAGAATGATGAATTAAGAGTAGAGAACAACTTCTTTAAAAAGATCATAAAAGCACAAGCTATAAGGATTAATATCCTTAATTTTGATTTCCTATACCAAAATTAAGGACTTTCATCCAAGGAAGAACACATGGACAAAAAGATAGATGACAACTGGAAGAAAATATTTATAATGTTTAAAACTGGCAAGGAATTAATATCTACAACATACAGAACACTACTTGCAACATTTTGGAAAGTATGAAAGTAGGTAAAAAAAAAAAAAGCATCATTTTTCTCTTATTTTATTATATTTTCCTTCCCCACATTCTTCACAATAAATATTTTTTGTCTGCCCATCCTAGAAAATTAAAATTGTTGCATTTCTACTAGCCTGTCTCACATTTTCTTTTCTTTTCTTTTTTTCTTTTCCTTTCTGAGACTGGGTCTCTGTTGCCCAGGCTGGAGTGCAGTGGCGCAATCTTGGCTCACTGCAACCTCGACCTCCCAGGCTCAGGCAAGCCTCCCAAGCAGCTGGAACCACAGGCGTGGGCCACTATGCCAAGCTAATTTTTGTATTTTTAGTAGAAACGGGGTTTCGCTGTGTTGCCCACTCTAGTCTTGCACTCCTGGGCTCCAGCAATCCACCCTCCTTGGCCTCCCAAAGTGCTGGTATTACAGGTGCGAGCCACTGTGTCCGGCCTATCTCACACTTCTTTAGACTACTTTTTAAAAATTTCCTTTTTAACACTAAATCAGTGAAACGTCCACATGAAGACAAACTGCTAGAGAAATTTAAGACCTTTAGGTTGTAAAATTAAAATGTCATATTATAAAACACTGCTGAGCAAAGATTCTTGTGTTATTTGGTTATTGGTCATTACAAATTTGAGTCAGGGCACAAAACTTTTTGTGCTATGATATTCAGAACAGAACACAGATGCTTGAAAGGATTAACACAGCACAAAACAATGTCTATTACTATCTACTGAAAAATGAGCCACGATCTTTACCACAAACAAGTGACTTTTTGAAAGTTAAAAACTTAATGCCTACTGAGAATTAAATTTACTAATTGAGAACGATTAGATTCGATGGCTGAAAACTTCAGTATGTGTTATAATTATAATAAATCCTTCAGTCATCTGACTCCAGTAATTTTCCACTCACTCTTCTCCCCCCTCAATTCCTGCACACACTCAGATTAAATATTTCTGAGAACCTGGCTACTTACAGAGTGGGAGCAGCAGCAGTAGCATCTTCTTGCTAGAAGTGCAAAACCTCAGGTCCTACTAAATCAATCTGCTTCAATAAAAGCTCTCGTGACTCATGTGCACATTAATGTTTGAGATCCCCAGATCTCCTTTTTGAAACTATTTCTCCCTCTACAGGGGTCCCCAAAACCCGGGCTCCAGACTGGTACAGGTCTGTGGCCTGTTAATAACCAAGCCGCACTGCAGGAGGTGAGCATTGAGCAAGAGAACAGCGGTTTCCATTAGATTCTCAAAGGGGCACAAAGGGGCAGAAGCCCTACTGTGAACTGCGCATGCGAGGGATCTAAGTTGCAGGTTGTGTGCTCCTTCTAAGACTCTAATGCCTACTGATTTGAGGTGCAACAGTTTCATCCCGAAAACATCCTCCCCTCAACCCCCCACCTTCCGTGGAAAAAAATCACCAGTCCCTGGTGCCAAAAGGTTGGAGTCTTACTATGTTGCCCAGGCTGGAGTGCAGTTGCTATTCACAGGCTGGATGATTGCGCACCTCCGATGAAAGCGGCTCAAAACCAAGGCATTTTTGCCTAATAACCCCTTGAAAGTGACTTAAAAGACGGTCAGTTATGTATGCTTTTATGTACATAGTCTGTCCAATTGCTTCTACCTGGACAAGCATATTAAAATTATTACCTGGCAGAATATTATTTGCCTGAGCTAAACCCGGAGATCTTTTAAACGCTTGCAGACTTACAGAGCCTGGCACTGCGGACTTTGCTGCTGCTACCTCGTGAAAAGAAGGGGTACGAGCTCTAGGAGGCTGTCGGCCACGTCCAAACTATCAAGCCAACATCACTAGAAGCCGAACACGGCTTTCGGTCATGTACTGCCGACTCTCATCTCTAAGATTCACGAACCGCGACCAATTGTCTGTTCGGTTTCCCACAGGCGACTTCCTTTCATGCACAAAGAGGGAAGAGCAGCGGTGGCTGCGGCAGGGCGCTGGGGTTTCGAGTCCAGCCCTGGGGCCGTGCACCCTCCCTCGGCGCCGGCCGGGCCACTCTGACGCTCCCTCCTGGCTCCCTCCCTTTCATCCCAACGTGGGCGCAGGGCGACTCGCTTCTCCTATTCCTTCGCGCCCATCGCACTTTCTAACATCTCAGAAACATGGCCCTTGTCACAGACTTTCGTGATCGCGCACTTTAAAGAAAAGCCAGAATCAATGAACTTGTCAGTTTAATGTGACGTCTTAGAGGGAAAGGGCCATGTCTTTGTCATCCCAGAGACCACAATACCCGACGGCCGGCTTGGCGCTCAGTGTTTCCCTAAGCATCAAAACAGGAACAACCAAAGCAACGGACAAATGAATGCATGTGGAAACAAGAAAAGAATGCATAAAAGAGTGAAGAAAAGAGGGGGCCAGGCATAGTGGCTTAACCTGTAATCCTAGCACTTTGGCAGGCCAAGGCAGGAGGATCTCTTGAGTCCAGGAGTTCAAGGTTGCAGTGAGCCGTGATCGCAGCTCAGGCGACAAGTGAGAGCCGGTCTCCCCACCCTTTCCCCCCTCCCCGAAAAAAGGCAGGAGCCCCACAGGGCCAGGAGTGCCAGGCGCGGCCGCCCGGGGGCGGTGTGGGGGGTGCGTGGGCCACTTTGCCTCAGCGACCACCGCCCGGGTCCCTCTGTAAGGCGCTTCTCAGGCAGACACCCCGAGCCAAAGCGGGCCGCACCGCAGCGCTGGGCACTTGGGTGGAGAGCGTGGGGGCCGCGGGCCCGCGCCCAGACAGGTGTAGCCGTCCCATGCTCGGCGTCCTGCCGCTCCTGGACTGCGCCATGCCTCCAGGCATGGAGGTGCTGGACCTGCCGCTGTGGAACCGCTTCTCGGGCCTGTCCTGGGGGCCGCACCACAGGTCAGTGCCCCCGGGCGCCCCTTGGCGCGCTTCACGCCTCCCTGGGGGCTCCACCGCCGCCCCCTTTCGGGACTACTTACTTCCTCGGTTCTTCTCGCGCGCGCCTTGGCTCCATCCCCTACGGCCCCCACCCCGCCTCCGCGTCGCCGACCCCCTTCTCCGGGAGCGCGAGGAGGCTGGTCCGCTGACGCGTGGAATCAGTGCCCCAGGACCTCAAGTGGGGAAGCTCCGGTCCCTGGTGGGAGGCGGTGGGGTGGGGCGGAGCGGGACGGGGCGGGGCAGTCCCTTGGGGGCGGGGCGGGAGCGCCTGGCCACGCGCCGCATCCTGCAGCGAGAGCACAGAGCAGGCTTTCAGCCGCCCGAGCAGGGCCAGCCGCACCCAGCGACCGCCGCGCTTGCCCTAGGGCCGGGGTCTGCGCGCACCGCGCGGCCGGCAGGAAGGGTAAGAAAAGGGGACCCCGCTTAGCAGGGCTCCAACTTCAGCGGACGCGTTCCGGCGACGGCGAACTGAGTCTGCCGTGAACAATTTTTCCTGTTACGAATCCCGAGAGCCCTGCAAAGTTTTGAAGGAGGAGGCATGGCCCATCAGCCTTATCGTTTTCCCCAGGCAAGGATTCCAGAGAGAGGATCAGGTGTTTTCAGGTTAACCGTCAGGTGAGGAGTCTGGGCTGCATCTTTCAGGATGCTAGACTAGAGAAATCTTCCTGAAGTCGATGGCTTTACTTCCGTAGACTAGAGCTTGCCTACTGCCTTGGGAATGCTTATATTAAGTGCTTGCAGTTACTTAAATAAGGCTGGGCTGTGCCTTCCAGAACAAACAGGCCTTTCCCTCAGGTGGGAGGGTTGTAGTGTGGCTAACCCCAGTTCTCTGCCTTTATGAAAAGGCCCACAGTTCAGTCGCTTGGCGCTGCCAGCGGGCCCCTCCTCCGTGGTCAAAGCTCCAGCCACCCCAGCACATTTGAACCGAGGGTGTGAATATAAACAGGCCTTGGCTCCCCCGTTCCCTGCTCTCCAAACAGATATATATGTATGTATCTGAAATATATACGTATGTGTGAGTGTGTGTGTGTGTCTCTGGTTGTACAGTACTTGTGGGAAACAAAATTGTGTGTCATTGTAAATTGAGAATGGAAGAAAAGGTTAGTAAGAGAGAGGTGGGAGAGGTTTCTTATGGGTGTCAGGATGTAGACTCTGATATTTTATGTAGAAGGAACCAACTACGTAGTTCTCCCCAGAAATGGGATGTGGGTTTCACACTCAGGAGCGGCTCATCACCTCTGTGATGTGCTAACCAAAATCGCACAAGTTTTGGGAAATTTGATAGCTTTCCCCTATTGAGTCAAAGTTTCTTGAGACTTTAGCCTGTCTTCCTCTTCATACCTTAAGAAGAGTCAAACTCCCTTTGCTGTGAACTTTCCACAGGCATACCCTTCTCCTTTAGAAAGCCCTTTATAGGTCAGTTTCTGTGGCCAGAACTCTAAAAACGACACATTTTCCATACAGAGGCCATCATAATACCAATTTTATTTAACCTCCTGTAATAAAAAATGAGTGAATCCTATTAAAGTGTTTGAGGTAGCCACATTCTTTTCTGTGAAGGAGGAACATAACAAAAGTTTTTTTTTTTTTAATAGAGTAATAAATGTAAAATATTTTAATGAATCAAGTGAGAAGAACTGAGAGGCGTAGTTTGAGCAGAGGGGCACAAAATACAGAACTGAAAGTCAAGAATGATTATATTCACAAGCTGATCTCTTTGTCTAGATCTCTGTCAGTGAAGTGAAACCTAGAACAAGACAATTTTAAAACCGGTGGAAAAAGAGATGGCTTCTTGTGACTGTAGCTTTCAAAGTAAAAATAGTGGCCAAAGAAAACTCTTCTGGCCGTAAAATTAAAAGTGGACTTTCCCGAAGCTGGACTGTTTTCTTTAAGGCCTAAAGTCTAAGTTCCATATGTCAGTTCTGAAGAATTAAATCACTCTTTAGTGAGCTCTTGTGTCACATGTTAAGGGATTCATAGAAAAAAGTGCAGGCATACCTTGTTTTACTGTGCTTTGCTTTATTGCACTTTGCAGATACTGTTTTTTTTTTTTTTTTTTTTTAACAAATTGAAGGTTTGTGGTAACCCTTTGTCCAGCAAGTCTACTGGTGCCATTTTTCCAACAGCGGGTGTTCACTTTGTGTCTCTGTGTCACATTTTGGCAATTCTCTCAATATTTCAAACTTTTTCATCATTATTATTATATCTGTTATGGTGATCTGTGACCAATAATCTTTGATGTTACTACTGTAATTGTTTTGGGGTGCCATGAACTGTGCCCGTATAAGACAGGGAACTCAATTAACAAATGTTGTATGTGTTCTGACTACTCCACCAACCAGCCTTTCTTCTATCTCTTTTCCTCTCCCCAACCTCTCTATTCCCTGAGACACCACAATATTGAAATTAGCCTAATTAATAACCCTACAGTGGTCTCTAAGTGTTTGAGTGCAAGGGCCAATCACAGGTCTCTCACTTTAAAGGTAGAAATGATTAAGCTTAGTAAGGAAGGTATGTTGAAAGCTGAGACAGACCAAAAGCTGGGCATTTTGTGCCATTTGGCCAAGTTTTGAATGCATATGAGATATTCTTGAAGGAAATTATAAGTGCCACTCCAGTGAAAACACAAATGATAAGGAAGCAAAAGAGCTTTATTGCTGTTATGGAGAAAGTTTTTATGGTCTGGATAGAAGATCAAACCAGCCCCAATATTTGCTAAAGCTAAAGCATAATCTAGAGCAAGGCCCGAACTCTCTTCAATTCTGTGAAGGCTGAGAGAGGTGATGAAGCTGCAGAAGAAAAGTTTCAAGCTAGCAGAGGTTGGTTCATAAGCTTTAAGAAAGGAAGCCATCTCTCTAACACATAAGTGCAAGGTGAAGCAGAAAGTGCTGATATAGAAGCTGCAGCAAGTTAGTTGGAAGATCTAACTAAGATCAGTGATGAAGGAGGCTACTCTAAACAACAGATTTTCAATGTAGATAAAACAGCCTTCTATTGGAAGGAGATGCCATCTAGGACTTTCCTAGGTAGAGAGGACAAGTCAGTGTCTGATTTCAAAGGTGCAAAGGACAGGATGGCTCTCTAGTTAGGAACTAGTACAGCTGGTGACTTTTAAGTTGAAGCCAGTGCTCATTTACCATTCCAAAAATCCTAGGGCACTTAAGAATTATGTTAATCTACTCTGCCTCTGCTTTGTAAATGGAACAACAAAGCCTAGATGACAGTACATTTGTTTACAGCATGATTTACTGAATATTTTAAGCTCATGGTTGAGACCTACTGCTCGGAAAAAAAGATTTCTTTCAAAATATTACTGCTCATTGATAATATCTCTGGTCACCGAAAAGTTCTGATGGAGTTGTACAAGGAGATGAATGTTGTTTTCATATATGTTAACACAACATCCATTCTGCAGCCCATGGATCAAGGAGTAATTTCAACTTTCAATACTTATTATTTAAGAACTACATTTTGTAAGGTTATAGATTGCCATAGAAAATTATTCCTTTGATGAATCTGGACAAAGTAAACCCTTCTGGAAAGGATTCATCATTCTGGATGCCATTAAGAACATTCATAATTTATGGGAAGAGGTCAAAATATTAACATTAACAGGAAGTTTGGAAGAAGTTGATTTTAAGCCTCATGGATGACTTTCAAGGGGTCCAGACTTCAGTAGAGGAAGTATTTTAATAGCAAAAAAACCACAATTACTTTTACACCGATCTGCTAACCACAGATATGGTGGAAATACCCAGAGAACTGGAAGAGAAGCATGAAGATGTGACTGAATTACTGCAATCTCATGATCAAACTAGAATGGATGAGGAGTTGTTTGTTATGGCTGAGTGAAGAAAGTGGTTTCTTGAGATAGAATCTGCTCCTAGTGAAGATGCTATGAACATTGTTGAAATGACATCATATAATTTAGCATATTCCGTAAACATAGTTGATAAAACAGCAGGAGGGTTTGAGAGGACTGACTCCAATTTTGAAAGAAGTTCTACTGTGGGTAAAATGCAATCAAACAGCATTGCATGCAACAGAGAAATGTTTTGTGGCAGGAAGAGTTAATTGATATATCAGACTTCATTGTTGTCTTCTTTTAAGAAATTGCCCTAAACACCCCACCTTCTTCTTTTAAGAAATTGGCCTAAACACCTTCAGCAACCACCACCCTGATCAGTCAGCAGCCATCAACAAGGAGGCAAGACCCTCCACCAGCAAAAAGAGTACAGCTTGCTGAAGGTTCAGATGATTGTTAGCATTTTTTAGTAACGAAGTACTTTTAAATTAAGGTGTGTTTTTAGACATAATGCTGTTACAGACTTAATAGACTATGGTATAGTGTAAACATAACTTTTATATGCACTGGGAAACAAAAAAAAAGTTGTGTGTATTTGCAGTATTTTTTTTTTTTTTACTTTACTGCAGTATTTGCTTTATTGTGGTGATCTGGAACCAAACTTTCAATATCTCTGAGGTATGCCTGTAATTTTATTTCCAGACTTCATTTTATCAAACTGCAATGTTCTGTTCAGTATTAAATGTTTAAAGTCATGTTTTTGGTTTGTTTATTTGTTTGCTTTGGCAATCATCTGAATTTTTTTTTCTTCCCACTCTTTTCCGCCTGCCTATAGCTGAGCTTTCTACTCTGTTTTGAGCTTGGTCCTCAGCACCTTTTTTCCTGGTATGAGAGACTGTGTCCAGGGAATGTTGTCCATATTCCTTTTCCCTCAGCTGGGTGGGCTGTTTCCTTTCTTCTCTTTTGAGGGTTGTGTTTTGTTTTCTCCCCTTGAATACATCTCTGTAGTTTCAGCCTAAAACATCTGTCAGGCAATAATTGATAACTCATGAGGCAGAAGATTCTTGAAAATAGTCTTTGGTGTAATTCTAGAAGACCCATAATTTAAATGGTGGCCTTAAAAAAATATCATACTACGGCCAGGCGCGGTGGCTCA